CGCTCTTCGCGGTGGTAAATAGCGATTGTAAACTTTCGGAGATAGTTGAGAGAGAGAGAGAGAGAGAGAGAGAGAGAGAGAGAGAGAGAGAGAGGAGAGGGAGGGGGAGGGAGAAATACAGGAAGGACGCAAACATGCACTTGCAAAACGTAGTACGTCAGACTTGGTGGTGTAAACTTGCCATGCCACGGAGACAAGAATCGTCCAAAATTCAGTGGGAATCTCGCCGTTGGCTACGCTTAATTTATTTCGACTCTCTCGCACGCGACTGCGCAGCATTGTTGCCGCCGTGAGCATTGTTTTGCGAAATTGTCAAATCCTCGATGGCGAATTCTGCAGTATTATACAGTATAACGGGCAAATAGAAGATAAATGACCGTGTGGCGGGAATTTTACTCCCTCTAGTTTAATTTCCATATCTCGCATTTAAAAATAATATCGCTAATTCGGTTGTACCGACGTTAATATATAGATCCATCATTCTGTGTGCGCGTGCATACGTCGCAAATTACATCTAATAATTGTAATTATTAGATGTAAAAAATTAGCAATGTTGACTAATTGCGCTTACGATGTGCAGCTGTAAATTAAATGTATGTACAATAGATGTGTTTCGGTAAAATGCCGTAGTTATATATAGATATATTATATAGTGTAGATATATTTCGGTGAACAATAGTGTCCGAAATTTCAAGTAAGTTATAATATATAACAACGTATACATGTCATATCTTAACGCTGGCCAACAAATACAAAGCGTAATACATACGATTGAATATGTAGATTCACCGAACACGCGAACTGTCATCACGAAAGTTCACGATATGATTCATGTCTGAGGAATGATAATAATTAAAATTTGGTATCAAAATCATTTAACTAACAAGAGCAAATTATATTTTGTCTGCAAAATAACGTAATACGATAATTAGAAATTATGCTATTAACAAAATTAACAAATTTGTATTTCGTGTATTAAATCTTTTACTTTTTCTACATTTTTAATTACAAGTATTTTATATGTGTAAATAGAAAAATTATTTTAAAAAAGATTATTAAGAAGCTTTTTTGAAACGTTATTAACAATGTACAAATTGTTCACGAAAGCTCAACAGTTGATTACAAAAGTTGAAATAAACAATACGGATAGCGAAAAAAAGCGAGCAGTGATCCGTGAATTTGCAGCCGATCTATTTAATAAAAGCCTTTTAACGATACATGATAAACACGAACTTTACCAGCACTGTAAATGCGCGTGGATAGTTACTTTGCTCGATATTTTTATTGCATATTTCGCTATTTTTCTACGATATTCCATTCCAGAAAAAAAAAGAGATTTTCGAATAAATCTGACATATTGGCCAAAAGAAAAATATAAGCGAGGCAAACGAGTACCCCTCGTACTTCCCTCACGAAAGCACTCCCGTTGCGCGATAAACCGAGATCGTATATTGACCTTATTACAGTTTATATCCTACGTGGACAATGGCTGTAGTTTAAAGTGCATTATGCAATATGTTGAAACATAACAGACAAAGTTTCCGTCCGTATTCCGCGTATGAGCCGCGTATTATCGGTTGAATAATTCAGTCCATTTCAATGTTTCACGGTGACATAAAAGGACGTAGTTATGGAAATGAGGGCGTTGAAATTTCATGGGAATCCGATTATTGCCCCGAATTCGGCTGGATACGTGTCGTTACTTTACAGGCGACGCCGAAAAATATTATGCGACGTTTCGCGTGCATTGTATATCTCTTTCGAGATTCCGTCCGACAGAATTTTCGTCGCGGCACGTTAATTTAACCAATTAAGCGGCACTGGAAAATTTGCCGGCCAGAAATTCATGAAAAATTTGTCGCGCCATTTTATATCACCGTCCCACGTTTACTCGCCCGTGTAAATTTCGTTTCTCCTCATTTCTTTTTCATTCGTCTGCTTCAGGATGTAATCTCGAAATTTCGACTGTTGCAATTATATTCTGCGCTTTCTTAAAAAAAAAGTCTGCGACAATGAAAGCAAATTTCATATTCGACGAAGTACTACTCTAATTCAATTTCTCTCTTCTCTTCTCGACCGCGGCGCACAAATATATCCCGCTCAATTCCCTATTGGAATAAATATCGCGTATCATAGGTTGTCGTTTGTCTCCTAGATATTTTCATATAAGAAGTTACCGCGGACGCGGGAGTGGAAGTTAAACGCCATAAATCATTTCTTGACACATTTATGCCAGTCGCGTGCGACGGGTTTGCCACATTACACTCAACTTCCCAACTTATATAAATTTCATACCGACCAGCCCGCGCGTTTCGGAGTCTTCGCTGAGAAAGTGCCGAGTAATAACGCGAGAGACATTTTCGGGTCAGAAGTATTTCCCGATGGCGACTTCTTCCGAATTCTCCTATTCCTCTATTGCTATGTAACAAACCCCCTTATAACCAATCGCACTTTCTCACGCGGTACTCGAGAAGTTTTATCGTACAATTAAAACTCCTCTATTAGTATTAAAAATTGTTATCGGCTATCTGGCAAATACACGTTTAATTAAATATTAATTGAATATTAATGTGCATTTAAAAAAAAGATAAAAAATGTTTTTTTAAAAAATAGTCTTTAAAATGTTCTTCTTGCTAGATCAAAAAAATTGCTTCCTTTTCCAAAGTAATATTTTACTACGGATTACGTCAACATCGCACGTTCTATCAATTTTACGCTCATCAAATTTTATTTTATCTCATTCTCTCTTATTGATGGTATTTGATACAATTATTATCTTATCCACGGTTACTACATTCGCATATAATTTACGGAAACAATTTGCGATAGAAATCAAGTGCGATTTCCTCACAAATTATTGAACATCATATTGGGCGATGAAATTACTTTCAGGAACGGCCGGCGGAATTAAATTTTACGCCACGTTACGCTCGCCAGTCTCTCGATTTTCAATTTGTGCGTGGTTAGTGAAAATAACATAAAATTAACTGCGCATTTCAAAGAGATGTATTACGCTTGTCAAATGTGGTTTTAGCGTGATACTCACTAATTTGAGAATGTTCACCTAGACTCTTTGATTTCGTGCGGGTGTCAAAACACCCCGTCGCGGAAACATCTTCGGAAAATCTTCGCGCCGCGAATCAAAGAAACGAGTTGCGTGGCAAACTGCTGATGTTTTATGTATAACACGCGGAGCCTTAGTTGACGACGCACGGGGGATATCGCAGACGTTGATTTCGCCATAAATATTTAATGAGCAGTTCGTAACGAAGCCACTCGTTGTCCGACGGAATTCGCTGTTTTTTTTCTCCTGGACGCGCCAATTAAGAAACATAAATAATGGAGGCGCCGCGCGGAGGTGAGCCGCGCGGGAATTTACCTACGGACGAATTTGCAACTTTCCCACCATTTACCGAGCCCCGTGAGGCCCAACAATATGTACCAATCAATTATTCAGATTTTTCAGTGCTCTCAGACGACCGCCATGATAATTCACCCCGGCCGCGGAGCGGATGAAAAATTTTACGGATCGCTCGCATTAATTGTCCGTTTGCCATGATTTCAATTATATTTGATTATCGGCGCGATAAATACGAGAAAACGCAATAATTGGCACGGAAATTAATCCTGAATTACGAACGTCGCGAGCGCGCGTCGATAAAATCATAAAATTTGTTGACATCTTTCACAAGATTACACTCATTAAATAAATAAATCGATATAACACATTTCATCAAACGTAATAATTAATTTGCATTCCATTTCCCCACTGGCGCTCGTAAACGTTTTCAGGCATCGACCATGAATGGCTATTAATTTCACGTTATTACTTCTCTACGGTAGTTTCTGCGTAATTAAATACGGTTACGCGGCGGGCGCGCCGTCAAGAAAGTTAATTTAAAAAATAATTCTCGCCTTCGTAGTAAACAGAGGGAAACCTCATTTCACTTTATCAAAGGTAAATCAATTTGCATTTAAATTAAACTCTTCTCAGGAGCTGATGTTCAAGTACAAACGGCGGATAAAGCGAGAGCGGGCTACTTGATAATGGAAATCGCTTCTTATAAGGTGCGAATCGTGTAAATACTCCGCGACCGCGACGCTTTGCACCTTTTCTCCAAGTTATCGAAATCAGTCTGATTTATTGCGATACCTACGGGAGCAGAGAAACTTTTGCAGGGACACGGGGGGAGAGAGAGAGAGAGAGAGAGAGAGAAATCCGAGGGCGCGAATTCAATCTCACGGATATCACTGCCTAATGGTATTTAAGAGTAAAATTCGATGTACGAGTGTTACTTGTGCACGTTCGGAGTAACTCGAATAGCAAACGCGGCTCGGGGTAGTAAGAAGCACTTAGCTCAGAACGTGTTCCTATTTCGTAATGCCGTTGGAATTCTATCTATCTCTCTGCGCCGTCCGTCCTCGTCTTCCGTTCTCGATGGCGCGCACCCGGCGGTAACTCGCGCAGTGACATTAAATCGACTTTACGCACCACGCTATTCATTTGGGACACAATTGTTCTGCACAAAACGCGCGACAAAAAAAGGACTCGGCGAAACCTTTTCGCGAGAATACAGGTGTGTGTCGACCTCGATCGATTCTCGCTGAAATCTTATATTTCCAGAGACAGAAAAAAATTTTTTTTCCACATAAAAATATCTGTACGCGCGACTCCAGGAAGGTGAACGAGTACCTATATAATTTTCACGGAATTTTTCAGCGAAATTTTAATTTGTTTAAAATCGCGTCTGTTTGCGATGTTATTCGAAGCGTTAAAGTACCACTACGAAATGCTTTGAACGCTCCGAATTTTACATGTGTTAGAGTGCAGGAAAATTCTTCTGTTGAGTTATTTAGCGATGTGCAAAAGGTATATATAATTAATGGTAATTCGGGCGGTTCACTCCGAGTGGCGAACTTATTGCTCTTAACTTAACGAAGTGGCAACGCAAAAAACCGACTGCAGGAAAACGGAGCGATGAAAAGTATACTGTACTCACTGCATATGCAGAGTCGCGACCGGCTTGTCCGAGAAGAGGACGACCGGTCGGTCGAAGCGTTGGTTCCGACCGCAGACGCGAGCGCTGCCCTCGAGTTGAAGCCAACCGCCCTCGCACCTGTGAACAAAAAGACGAGACTGCTCTCAGTAGCCGTCCATTAGCTCCGGGCGCATACGACCGATACCTACTCCCTTTCCTGTCGCTCGCTAATTAATTTCGGCAATTTTCGATCCGACTCGTGGCCTCATCGCACTTAAGAGTTGTTACATGTATAGCTCGCCCCAAGTGCGAACGTTGGGGAATTTCTTCTCTCCGCCGAGCGTTGCGGCGGGGTTGAATTTTTGTCTCGCGGAATTTTAGGGAGAGATGCATATTTCACTGCGCGTGAAGTCGGGTAAGAATTTTCCGCCGCTACCTCCTCCCCTCCCCCCCCCCTCCTGAGTCCGGAATATTCAAATTGCTTCCGAAGACCATCGCCTTCGCCAGGGTAGAATTCTTTTTTTTTTCCGCATATATTTATTGTGGGCTTTGCATTTATTTACAATTACGTATTGAAATTTGTGTCTTGTTGATCTTGGAAATCCGCAATATTCTCGCAGTCTCTCACGGCAGAAAAGGGAAAGCCTTTCATTTTGAGGTCGTTTACTTTACAAAGTGGCATCCCACGCTCAACTTCGGTATACGTGCCCCGAATCTGATTTTATTCTCCGTGATGTTAAGACCTGTACTTGCTATTCCAGATTGAATTTGGTGGGAATCGTATTTTGAATCCAATATGTGCGAAGTTTAATGTTAACTAAGTTTCGCCACGTACAGTACGAGTTTCACTTTGCTTAAATTAGATTGTGTAAAGTAAAATTGAATTTAGGTTCCGTCCGAGGAAAGTGTCGGTAGTAATTTTAACTGGGAGCTCGCGATATGAGAAAAGATAGAGAGATCAGCAAAGAAGAGCGCAAAGGATATTCACGAGAACACGCCCGCTTTTATTCGAGCAGAATCGACCGGCTTAATGTTACATCCTAATTAAGGAGTATTTTAAGCGAAAAAAAATGTGAATACAGCTAACAACCCAACTAGCAAGCTGACGTGTTATTTTGTCGCCATTTTGATGTCAACCTGCTATACCTGGGAAGTTACTTGCGTTGTTTCATTACAAACGCCAATTAAAATCACTATACGTATATATTTACAATCGAACCTCGATAACTCGAAAACCTCTGTAAGACGAAAAATTTGTTCATTCCCTTCCGCTCCACTACGGAAAATCTCTATAAATCGAAATAAACCCTACCTTAACTTGAATTATTTGTCAGATATTTAGATATATAGTCGAACTTTCTCGATAACTCGAATCTCAAAGAATCAGCTATAAAAATCTTCAAGTTACAAAGGTTTCGCCTTATCGAAGTTCGAGTAAAAGAGAGTTAACATATGAAAATTACGGAAGCTTTGTACGAGAGTTTATAATTTATAATGGGTTTTAACTGTCTCTTATA